TGGGCTGGGGGGCACTGGGCGGAGGAGCCTAGACACTGGGGCAGAGCTGGGAACTTGACACAGCTGGTGGGCGGAGGGAGGCTTGAGAGTCTGGAGCTGGCTATGTGAGTTGGAGGTGGGGGGCACTATGGGACCAGGAGTTGTCAGGGGGTTACTTCCCCCCCTTGTTGCTTGACCAGCCTCGTCCATTCCTTTCAGCTCCCTGTCCCCAGGTTCTTATTCTCTCTCACACTGACACTCACACTCTCTGTCTCTCACTCTGCATGTGGCTGTCACCCCTGGGGGAATTCTGTGACAAAGCAATTAAAAATTCCCTGTACTCTTAAATCCTGCTCATTTTATTTGTCAAATGAACACTATAATCACACCAGTTTGAATTGTGTTGGTAATTTATTTCAAAATACTTGTCACCATACAAATGACAAAAAAATTCCCCCAGGAGTATAGCGTTAAAACTCTACAACAGCCCAGTTCCTGTTTCTCTGGCCTTTCTCACCTAGAGCAGCTGGACACGCAGTGCTTAATTTGTAATGAATGAGGTGCCAAAGCTCAAGCAATTTTTTTACTTTCATAACTGATGCTGCAAGCTCAGAGGTATGAATGACTATATTAGGGATGTTAAATATTAGTTAATAGAGTAGTCGATTAACCTTATTGTTTGTTTGACTATTCTATAGTCCTTGTGAGTGGGACCAGCAGCACCCTGCCACTCTGTGCTGCTGCCTCTGTACCCGGCATGAGCTGGAACTGAGCTGGACGGACTGACTGCCTGCCTGGCTCCTAATACACTTTAAATGCAGAGCCATAGCAGGGGTAGGTCCTGGACCCAGTGCAAGCCAGGAGTGAGATGGCCTGCTGGCCAGCCTGCTAAAAAATTTGCTCTCAGAGGGTGGGGGTGGAAATGCATGTACAGGCAGTCCCCGGGTTACGTACAAGATAGGGACTGTAGGTTTGTTCTTAAGTTGAATCTGTATGTAAGTCGGAACTGGCGTCCAGATTCAGACACTGCTGAAACTGACCGCCAGTTCTGACTTACATACAGAATCAACTTAAGAACCCCAGGCGTCCCCAAGTCAGCTGCTGCTGAAACTGATCAGCAGCTGATTCCAGGAAGCCCGGGGCACAGCAACTCTGCCTGGGGCTTCCTGTAG